CCTCCCACTTTCCCTCTCAGGCGTCGAAATCGTCGACGAATGGGGTAATTACCGTTCTGATGCAATGCCTCTGAAGTATATGCGTTCTATCGGTATCTATCTCTGTCTCCTTTTCTTCTTGTTCTTCTCCGTTTTTTCCTTGGCACGTTTTGCTTCGAGCAAATTCTTTTTCAACACTTTTTCGACAAAATCCGCAGTTGTTTACATGTGGTTTTGACTTTTTTGGTGACGAAACTGTCGAATTGTCCGATCGATACCCAAATCTGGGTGTTTTTACGTGTCTCGGTGTTTGGAGTTTTCCCCGTCGGATTGGGTCGTTCCGCAATGGTGAAGAGACCCTGAAGTGAGACAAGTTCTAGGATGCTGGAATCACAGATGATCGAAAATTTTCGGGTACTTTTGGCCATTTCGGGTGAATTATATGTTCTTTTTGTTCATTGACTGTTATGGCAAACGTAGAAAGGTATTATTAGGTTGCTTTTAGGACAACATTATCACTTAACCATAACTGGAAGTTACTTGAACTGGAGACAATGACCTAAAATTTTCAGTTATTTTGGTAACCAAAAGTATGAGTAATGTTTAAATGCATGTGTTGTTGTTCTCTCAATGATACAGATTCCTTAGCTACATGTGGCGTAGCTGTTTTCTATACTTTGCAATCCCGTGTCTCTATCCTGAGGTTTGAACGGGTTCAGTGCTTCAGTTTCTTGCATCAAGGCTTTGCGAGTCGCTAACTATCGGGAAAATGGTCGAGAGACCTAAGTTCAATGGGTTCACTGGAGGGCATAATAACAGCTATTACGATTACTATAAAAAACTCGGTGAAGGTTCAAACATGTCCATTGATAGTTTACAGACAAGTACTACTGTTGGTGGTTCTGTATCCATGTCAAGTAAAACAAGTAGTGTTGGGTCCAATGATTCTCATACCCACATTCTAGCTTATCCAGGTCTGAAATCTGTGTGAGTTACTCTGGCACTGCAGAAAATAGTGTTTATCACCCAGGCAATGGCAACCATGAGCTTAGTGATGACGCCCTTGCGCAAGCTTTGATGGATGGTAGATATCCGGTTGAACGATTGGGGGATTGCAATGATTGGAGTATAGATTTAAGGAAACTCAACATGGGTCCAGCATTTGCGCAAGGAGCCTTTGGTAAGCTGTATCGAGGAGCGTATAATGGAGAGGATGTGGCTATTAAGATCCTCGAGAGGCCAGAAAACGATCCAGAGAAGGCGCAACTGATGGAGCAACAGTTTCAGCAGGTCGACAGTT